TTTTTTTTTTGAGACAGGTTCTCACACTGTCACCTGGGCTAGAGTGCAGTGGTGTCATTATAGCTCACTGCAATCTACTCCTGGGCTTGAGCGATTCTGCTGCCTCAGCCTCCCGAGTAGCTGGGACCACAGGCGTGTGCCACTGTGACCAGCTAATTTTCCTGTTTTTTGTAAAGACAGGGTCTTGCTCTTGCTCAGGCTGGTCCTGAACTCGTGGCCTAAAGCAATCCTCTCTCCTTGGCCTTACAAAGTGCTAGGATTACAGGTCTGAGCCACCTTGCCCAGCCATGACAATATTTTGATTGGTAATTTCTCAAAATAATACAATAGCAAGTATGAGAATAAGGTATGTGAAATTAGAGTCAGAATGACCAGTGACTTTGTGGTAGGAAAAGGTAGTACCTGTGGCAAGGTTCTGGTTGGTTTATTTTTGCACAAGACAAGCATGAGGAAAAAAAAAAAATGAAGTAATTAGATAAGCTAACTACACACACTATAGGAAACAATGGAACAATCAGGGGTAAACAGGAAATTCAGGCTAAAATCTGACTCAGAAAATAAGCTGCTTAGGAAGCCAAGAAGACTAACTAGTTATCAAATGAGTTGCTTTCTCAAGAGTAACACCTGTGCATGGAGATGAGGAGGAAACCAATTTTAAAAAGGGGGTGAGGGAGGGGAATTAGGGAGGGTTAAGGGATCATGAAGTGTTTTATCGTACAGTCATCATAAACATTGGCCTTTCAGTCCAATTAAACGTATTTAAATGCCAAAATAAAATCACTGTCAAAGCAAAAGCTAAGGTAAGATGGTGCTTCAGGAAGGCAAGTCTCCCGAATGGCAAGATTTTCAAAGACTAAAGCTGCTGCTGCTTCTGCCTCAATCCCCATACAACCCCAAACCTATTGATTTCAAGAATAGTTTATGGAGCCTTCTATGTAAGTCTCTTGGATAGAATGGAAAAATGTGGGTGGGAGGAAAAGTAGAGTGAGCTAAATCCACAGTAGACAGAACAAAGTGCTCACAATATCCCTGACCTTGTCCTATTTGACATGACTATCAACGACCTGAAGACATGAATGGCAAACCAGCCTTATAAATAGAATAAACCAATTTGCAAATAGTACAAAGTGGGAAAGTGACAGCTAATATTACTGATTACATAATCATTCCCTCCCTACCATCTCCTCTTCTGCCTAGATCAGCATTTCCCAAAATGTGTTCCACAAAACACTGATCCCTGCAAATGAGACCTGCAAAATGGTTTCCCAAGTTTAAAACATTTGAAAAACTCGATTTTCTTCCTTCTTGGTCATTAGCACACCAAACAAACTTCTGTCCTGGTTTAACTTAATGTTTCCCAAACATCTCATGAAACACTTTCACACAATAATCATTAACTGAAAATGGCCTAAAGTTTAGGTCCCAAACCGTGTTCAAATTTTCTATGCTAAAAAAATGACTCAGTCCTCTTGAACTACTACTGCCTCATCACTCTTCTTAGCCCAACTACCAAACTTAAAAAAAAAAAAAGAAAACCCAACACCAAACTTGACACTTCCTGCCTCCTGTTTCCTCATCACCCACTCACTTCTTCATCACTCAAAGTGTGGCTTCAGCGTCCCGTGTTCTCCTGAAGGTCTTATCATGATGTGAACACCCACACAACTAGCAGAACTAATGGCTTCTCTCTGGCTCCTCAATCCCTCTGCAGGGTCACATAGGAATATTCAGATTTCTGGACACTTTTCTTTCTCAGCTTCCACAACACTGCATTCTACCCATCTCTTTGACTATTGTGATCTTCTTGGGTTCCTCTTTCTCTTTCCAACCCTTAAATTCTCAGGCCAACTCTTACTTCTCCCTTCGGTAAACTGCCCATAGTTTGAACTACTGCCCTTTCGTGGATCCACAATTCTAATCACAAGCCATTTCCTCGACTTCAGACCCATATTTCCAAAAGGCTTTCAACTTGTTCATGTTACTTTTTTCCAAGGAGTATAAGTTCAATACACTCCAGTCAAACTCACATATTTCCCTACCAAACTTTTTCCTTTTACTGTGTTCTTGATTCCTGTTAATGGGATCACCATCTGCAGCCACTTTCTCTTCAGCATGCACACAACACTCTGTTAAAGTACCAACCACGGTGAACTGTAACTACTTAACTCTTCACCTAGACTTGAAGCTCCATCAATCAGCTGTGCTAAAACACAGCCGAAACTCAACATACTTGGAAAAATGGATGAATCATTTCAATCAACATGATTCAAAACCTCTGAATCATGCCCAACTCATGGCTCATCCTTCAAACTCCAATAACATGTACCAAGTTCTGTCATACCTCTACAAAAGCTCTTGATTCTTTCCACGTACAAGACCACTATCCTTCATCAGACTTAAGTGAAACCCCAAACCTAAACTATAACTGTCTCCTTAATGGGCAATAGGTCTCCAGTTTCCCTCTGCCTCTAAACTACCACTGCTGCCAGACCAATCTTTCTAAATGCTATTCTAACCACATTAGTCCTTAGCTCAGACACCTTCAGTGGTTTCCAGTACTTCCAGAATACAGTCCAAAACCCTTACTATGCTATTACTTCCTTCTATGTTTGGATCTTTGTTATCTTTCCATCCTTATCTCCTACTACTTCTTATATTCTAGTCCAAGGGTCAGCACACTACAGCCAGTGGGCCAAATCCAGCCTGCTGCTTGTTTCTGAAAATAAAGTTTTATCAGAACATAGCCATGGTCATTCATTTATGTATTGCCTATGGCTGCTTTTGAGCTACAATGGAAGAATTGAGTAGTTGCAACAAAGATCTTATGGCCTGTAACGCCTAGAATATTTACTATCTAGCCTTTACAGAAAAAGTGTGCTGACCGCTGTTATAACAGGAAACTGGCTATTCCCTGAAAATGGCCTGCGTTTCCCACCTCCATTCCTTTGTTCATGCTGTTCCCATCTCTCAGAAAGACCTTCTGCTTTTTCCCTAAATTGTCCACATTCTTTAAGACCAGCCCAAATGCCACCTTTTCCATGAAGACTTGCCTGATCCTGGAGCTAAAGGTGAGCTTCTCTGTGCTCACAATGCAGTCAGTATTTATACCTCTTCTTCACATTTATCACATTGTACCTCATGTTATGATTACTGGTATAAATGTATTTCTACTTCTATATTGTAAACCATCATAGTCATTGTCATCCCCCCCCAACCCCTGCCGCCCCGAGCATAACAGCACGTTGCTTTATGTTTGTTGAATGGCAATGAACCCTTACAAGCAAGCCCAAATACTGGGCTGAAACCAACAAGATAAAATTTGGTAGGGAAGTATTTTTAAGGCAGGTTTCCATATTCAATTGCACAAGACTTGACAGCTGCACATATGAGAATAATCTAGAGCAGGGTTTCTCAGTTCTAACATTACTGACATTTTGGGCCAAATAATTCTTTGTTGTAGGGGGCTGTCCTATGCATTGTAAAATCTTTAACAAAGTCTTTAGCCTCTACCCACTACATTCCAGTAGCACCTCCCCAGTGTGATGACCAAAAATGTCTCCAGACATTGTCAAATGTCTCCTGGGGGAGCAATATTGCCTGCAGTTGAAAACCACTACTCTAGAAATTTCCAAGTATGAGCTATAAGATGTTGTTGGTGATAAAACATAGGTTATATAGTAATTGTAGTACAGCGACCAAATTAAGAGATAAGAGCCACACAGCATTCAGTTCTAGGTGACTCACACTGTGGGATTCTGTTCAACTCTGGATTTTAAAAGAATTTTGGAATACTGGAATTCAAACAATCAAAGGAGACCAGGCTGATGAGAGACTAGGGAAAATGTCATAGAAGGGATATTTAAGTAAATTGAGGTGTTTAGCCTATACAAGAGAAGATGAAGAGAAACCCATTATCTTCAAATAGCTAATGGGCTGTTCTGTGGGAAGGAGGTTACTCAGGAAGGCAGATCTGGAACCAGTGGGCAACATCAGCAGAAAGGTATATTTTGGTTCTATATAAGTAAAAGTTTCCTAACAATCAGAGCTGACCAAAAAAATGTATTGGGCTAAGCTGTGAAACACTGTGCTTTTATCATTCTGGAAGTGTCTGAATGGACACCAGATGAATTGATGTTAGAGATGCTGTAGAAAAATTCCTGCATGGGGTGGGAGGTAGGACAAGATGGTCTCTCTAAGGTTCCTTCTAGCTCTGAGATTCTAAGGCTAGCAAAGGAAAAGCCATATGCCGTGAATAAGCCATATGCACAAGCCATATGCAATTTCAAGACCTCAGAGCAAAAGAGAAAAATACTTAGCTAAATAATTCACCTTATTTCTGTTTAGTGACACCTTACATTTAGTCCCTGGCACTATAACTACCAGTGACCTATTTTTTTCCTAATTGATTTATAATAGTTCCTAGACAATGGATATCACTACCTTTAAATAGTAACGTTTATTCTGCTAATAATAACCACTAGTATAATTTGTAAAATGCTTTACAGTTTTCAAAGAATCCTGACATGCATTACCTTACTCACATTAGCTAAATGATGAACATGAAAACTTATTAGATAACCTGGTCTCATTTACTGCGTGTTGCCTGATTTCTTATAAAAGAAAGCTAGCTTTTATTATTCATTAATCATTCACTAGGATAATAAAGCATATTCTATAATAGCAGATGTTCATCTCCAAAGTATTTATACACAACCCAGAGATATTTTAGCATCAGAGACATGAATTTACTTCTGTGAAATTTCTATTTTATTTATGATTTGGGGAAGAAAATTTGAGAAATTATAATTTAGTATTCTCAAATTTCAATGTGGCTATACAAACCAACATTTTCAGAAAGCAGTCACAACAAAACAAGAAGCAAAACTATCGTAGGCCCTAACACCAAGGACTCTTTTACTCCCCAGCTAAAACTACCACTAAGAATTGGTTAAGGACTTGCCCCAAAACCAAACTAGGCCCTCACTCACTGCTTTACTTACTTCTTTACGTTTCGTTTCTGGACATTCCGACTGCAGAGTGAGGGTTGCACCTTCAATATTTCTTGGCATGGGCGTGGAACCAGGGTTTATTGTCAAATGAATCTGATCTGGTGAGATAATGTGTTGCACATAACCCTGGGACATTGCTTCATGATCTATTAGGTGAAAGCCCTCTTCACCCCCTACTAGAAAAGGCAAGTGTTCTCCGCACTGTCCATCGTCATCTTCATCCTCCAAAGTGCCAGGGTCCTGCTCAATAAGAACAGTGGTCCTATCATAAACAGTTCCAGATGAGGAAGGCACCAGTCCATTTTTATCCACAAACCTGAGCATCTTATCATCGGGGGTCAGCTCATCTTCCTCTGCCTCAAAGTAGATGATGTTGTTGTCTGGACTGTGTTCCCCCATGGTTCAATTGTGCTCAGCCCAATTGTGAGAAATAAAAAGGTAATGACTTGTCTGCAATAGAACAAAGCCAGAGTTACAGCCATACCACAAGACCCATGGACCTCCTCAGAAACCTCCGGGCTCATTTTCTGTCTGATTTAAAGAGTAGGCCAGAGCAAATGAAAAATCATCTTCCTTGGGAATAATTTTTTTTTTAATTTTAATTTTGAAACCATTAAGTCATTTTTAAGGAAAAGCAATGCCTTTTTTCAAAAATTGAAGTAACAAGTAGCAGTTCTTAAGACCTTCTAAATGTGCCTTACTGTCAAACAATTTGAAGATTGGTCAAAATACCTAAAGTGAACTAAGGAGCAAACCAAACAGTGGCTGTTTGAAAGCTGAGTTGCTATAAATCTTAAAGTATGGAAATCTCACTCACATATCCCCCAAATCAGACCATGAGGCAGGACATGGCCTCATGTAGTCTGTGGTGGAAGGAGCAAGGCTTTGGAGGCAGTCATGTACCTACAAACCCTGGATTTGCTCTTTAGTACTTAGGTAACTTTTCTGTGCCTCATTTTTCTTTTTTTTTGAGACAGTCTCGCTCTCTTGCCTAGGCTAGAGTGCCGTGGCGTCAGCCTAGCTCACAGCAACCTCAAACTTCTGGGCTCAAGTGATCCTCCTGCCTCAGCCTCCTGGGTAGCTGGGACTACAGGCACACACCACCATGCCCGGCTAATTTTTTTTCTATTTTTAGTTGTTTGGCCAATTTCTTTCTATTTTTAGTAGAGACGGGGTCTTGCTCTTGCTCAGGCCAGTCTTGAACTCCTGAGCTCAAACAATCCGCCCGCCTTGGCCTCCCAGAGTGCTAGGATTACAGGCGTGAGCCACCGCGCCCGGCCTGTGCCTCATTTTTCTTATGTGTAAGGTGGGACTATTAATTCCTGTTCTCTCAAAGTTGTTATGAGGAATAAAAGAGATAATGTATATAAAGCACAATGTCTGAAAAACAGTAGAGGAAGAAGTGTGAATTCCTTCCCTCATTCCTAGAACAGATGTTTCAGATTCTGGGTGGAAAAGCTAATCCCTAATTAGGCACAACTAATGATGATCATTGTATCTACCTAGTTCCTAAAACAATAAGGTGTCGGCCAGAATCTATGCTAGTGTAGTGGGCTCTCTGTCTTACTGATTTTTGTTTCTATAGCCCCTAGATTAGTACACTGACACTACAAATTCAGAAAATGTTAGCTAAATGAATGAAAGACATGATGACATACTCTCTTGGGAAGATACACTCTCTTGAGAAAAATACCAAATTTGGAGCTTTCATGTTCTGTAATAGTGATTCTTCCTTCACTTGCAAACACACAAGCTCTACAAACGTGGATTTCACAGGCAGAACAGAGAATTTTAAAATTCTCAGTACAACACTTTTAGTTTTCAGTCTGGCTTTGCACTTTATCTTTCTCTTCTGTTCTGGTTTAGAAAGTGAGCCTTTACCTAGTGGGGCAGCTAGACAGAGAGATAGTTACCAGAGACAGGCCAAGAGATTGGATCCGGGAGGAACCGGCCCGACCCCTAGCTCTGGCTTACGCAACCCTACAGATGCACATTTCGCTGCATTTGAGAGGAGAGATAAGAGCAGCGAGGGCCCCAATGGGCTGCCCCGGCACCATCGGCGGCAACGCGGAGACCAACTGTCCGGAACAAACAAGACCAGGAGATTTGAGGGAGGCCAACAAGGAGTGCGAAGGCAGCACCCTTGAGAGGCGGCTGGGAAAAGGAACCTGTCTGGGATAGCCTCCAGCCCAGGGATACACAGAAAAATCCGAAGACAAGCTGGGGGGCTCCAAGCACGGCGAAGAGGGGCAGGGTCCGGGTCTCCATGGAAACAGGGGAGGGGGGCTGGATACCCATCCCCATGGAAACGGAGGAGGGGTGGGGTCCCTATGGTGACCGCACCAAGACCTCTACTGGGAAATGCTTCAGGAGGGAGCCTAAGTCCCGCGACCCCCGGGAAGTCCCAAGCCCAGACCAAGTCTAGTTTAGCCTTTTACCTCCGCGGCTCCCGGCAACGGCGGCAGCAGCAGCTTCTCCCCTCCCCAGCGGCACCATGATTGCCCCCACCTTTCCCTAACGTCACTTCCGCTTCCGCTTTCCGGAGGAAGGAGGGGAGAGTGGCTCCGCCTCTCCCTGGCGCTCCTGGTTGGCTTAAGCGGTCTAGGGGGCTGAGCTCCAGCCTCCAATTGGCGAGCGGGAGGGGCGGGGCGGGGCACCAAGGGACGTAGCCCGGGAGCTGAGTTAGTCCCCCGCCGGCAAGCACCGCGGGCGTTACTGGGCGGCCCGAGTGAGCGTGTTGTTCTGGCTTCACCAGACGCTAGGGAAAGGGAAGAAACCTCCAAATACTAATCCCAAATATCGGTAGCCTGGCTTGAGCTGGCAGCTGCAACTGCAACGGGAAGGACCACAGTTAGCCGTCAGAGTCCCCGCTCGGACCCGCAAGGGAGTGGCTGGAAGGCTGCGGCGTTCCTGGATTTCTCCCTCCGAGGCCCCAGCTCACCCTCTTCACCCACCAAAGTTAACATAGGCGGGGAGGGCGGGGCAAGAAAGGAGGATTAGATCCAAAAGGCAGAACTAGGAGTATTCCAAGCCAGCCAGAGGGGACGGCCCCGCCTCTTCCCCTTCTCGCATGTTTTCATAAAACGCCCAATTTCTTTTCTCTTCACACGCCTTCCCAGGCTGGCTGTCCCAACTTTTTTCCCCTGCAGAGGATTCTCGACTTCGACGGGACTCGTGCCGGGCCAGTTAACGCCACCTACTGGCCACTCCCTGCCTTTAACTGTTCACACTGTCCTGGCCCTAACTAAATCACATTTTACACTGCCCAGAAGTAGTGGCATTCCAGGGCCCAAGAAGTGACTTTGCGTGTTCCTTTATCATGCTCCTGTCTTTTATAAATGCCTGGAAGATCCAGATGTTAGGTCCTCCCAGCAGCCACTACCTGTTTTTCCCATAAACTGCTTTTCTAGAATATTCAGAGTGAGACAAACCCAAAGGCTAGATCAGGGGTCTAGGGGTTCAGGCCATGGTTGTGCCATCCACCAGACATACCAGGCATATGTCTCTTTAACCTTTTGTTAGAGCCGGTTCCCCTCGGCCCCAGGAACAGAGAGGCAGAGTGACTGAAGCTGCAAATGGCTAAGGAGTTTATTGGCTAGCTCGAGCTAGGGTCCAAGTCCCAGAGCACCAACACAGTGGCCTCTCCTATGAATCGGGACCGGACCCCGCCCTGGGGTAAAAGTTAAGCTTTTATACCTTTTTTTGTTTTACACACGACACACAGGTTTCACACGACACGCTGGGCACACCTTCCTCCCGCCCCTCCTTAGTTCATTGGTTCCTTTAAAAGTGGCTGATCGTGTTGGCTCCTGATTGGTTCCTTTGAAAGTGGCTCCAAGCCTCGGGATTTTCGTGCCTGCGCCAGTTGTGGTCAGTGTCATTTCCGGCAAACCGAAACTTAGGCCTACTCCAGGAAGTTCAGCCTGTCATGGAGTCACTCCTGTTTTTCATTCTGATTTAACAAACAACTATATTTAACAAACAACTAAAAGTAAGCACGGTCACAGAAGCAAATAGCATCAGTTAGAATCAGAGAGAGCACATTTTTCTCTAATCCCAAACAATTCGTCTCGCACAAAGCAAAGTACATTCTCCTACTATCAATTCCTGTTTTTCACTCTGACCAGCTGTCCCAATGCTTAGGCCACAAAGGTCCAGCTGCAGAAAGATGCCATCTTTTAAGAGATACAAACATACACAACAACCACTTTTAAAAATACATTTATCCTTAAAATATATTACATATATGAGAGAGGATGCATCATATACAGTTTGGAGGACTTGCTGGCCCAGAAAAATCCCACTTGTTTTACCAGAACACCTGTTTCTTCAGTGTTTCCATTTTTTAAGCCACTGTTTTGCCTTCAGAGGCTGCATGGCCAGCCTGGGATTATTGAGCCTTATCTGGAAAGGAAGAGGGGTAGAATTTGCATATGCATATACACATGTCCTCAGACTGAGCACTTGAAAAATCTGGGGTGGCTGTGGGCTATTTATCCAGCAGTTTCCACTTGCATTCTTGCATCCAACTCATTGTCCTTTCAGGACTCGAAAGTCTGTTCAAATGTCTGACCACGGGGAGCTCAGCCCAAGCCATGGGGAAGGCACTAACTATGCTCTGGAGGCAGGTTGAATGAGTACAAGTACAGTTATTTCAAATTTTTTTAAATAAAAAAATGAATAGAGATCTATCTGTGTTAAATAACTAAAGATAAACATCGAATGTCAGTTTCACTGTGGTGGATCTTCCCCCAAGTCTTCACAACTCACAGTAGCACTGAGTGTGCTAGGCTCAGGAAACAGGCAGCTGCCATCTTCCTTCCAAGTGGCCTCACATAATGTTAAGGCATCTCTTGAGCTGGAACAGGTAGGGCTGGTAACTGGCTGCCTCAGGTAAAACAGGGGAGGAGATAAAGAGGCTCAGAGTGGGTTGCAGAGGAACTGGTGAATAAATTCTTGAGCCTTCTTCTTCTCTGTCATTTCAAGCTTTTGGTCACAAGCTGGGTTTCGAAGCAGTAAGCTGCCAAATATGCTAGCTGTGTGAAAAAAACAGAAAATAAATTAATTCAGCAAAACAAGGTACTAAAGTCATGCATTGCTTAACAACAGGGATATGTTCTAAGAAATGAGTCACTGGGTAATTTCATCATTGTGGGAATATCATAGAGTGTACTTATGCAAACCTAGGTGGTATAGTCTACTTAACACACCTAGGCTCCATGGTATAGTCTTTTGTTCCTAGGCTACAAACCTGCACAGCATGTTACTATACTGAATACTGTAGGCAACTGTAACACAGTAGTAAGTATTTGTGCACCTAAACATATCTAAACATAGAAAAGGTACAGTAACAATACTGTATTATAGTCTTATGGGCTGGCTCACCATCCTATATGTGGTCCATCACTGACCAAAATGTTATATGGTGCACACCTGTACTTACTCGTGTGATGTTAGGAAGAGGGAGGGGTGCTCAAAAGCAACATTTTCTGCTTCAAGAAAAACTGTTTGGGTATAAACTTTGCCCAGAACTTGTTATTTTAGTTCTACTGCAATGGACTTGGGACCCTCCTCAACCCCATTTCTCATAATGCGTCTCTCAGTTTGCAGAAATGCTTTCCATAGACACTTGGTTGCTTACCTAAAATATTCTCATCCAAATGATTTTTTGCTGAATTTTTCAGCAGCTCTTGCAAAAA